TTACTATACGACCCAACAATTCCACTTCTAGGTATGTGTATTCAAGAAAAATGCAACATATGTCCACACAAAAACTTTCAAATGAAGGTTCATAGCAGAATTATTCATAATAGTCAAAAAGTGGAAATTATCCCCAAAGTCCATCAGCTGATTAATGGATACAATAAATATGGTATGTTTTTACAATGGAATATTATTTGGCAGCATAAAGGAATTAAGTACTGATTCATGCTACCATATGGAGCCTTGAAAAATTAAATTGAATGAAGGAAACTGATCACAGAAGACTATATATTTGTATGATTCCAATTACGTGAAATGTCCAGAACAGGTAAATCTATAGAGGTGGAAAGGGGATGAGTGGTTGCCCAGGACTAGGGTGGGTTGGGAGGAAATGGGGAGTGACTGCTGAGAGGCTTCAAATTTCTTTTTATGGTGATGAAAGTAGTCTCAATTGATTGTGGTAGTGGTTGCACAAATCTATAAATGTACTAAAAACATTGAATTGTATATTTGAAATGGGTGAATTGTATGATATATAAATTATATAAGTATATATTTCATATAAATGTACACATATATACAAGTATGTATGTACATACATGTATATATAAATGCATATATATGACATCTTCATGCAAATGTATCATTTACCTACACTAAAAATTGAATAAAATCTAATTCATAAGCTACCCACCCATTACCCTGTTGCCATTATTCTTCTAGACTCCTAAGCCATGAACCAAGAAGCATTTTTTCCTCCCACTTTTTAATTCTTTGTAATTCTTTTATGAAATCTGTCATTAAGCAATGCTTATTCCTTTGGTAATTACTTTGTAGGGACTTAAAGATAAAATGACATGTGAATAGCAACACCAGGAAACTCTGTCACCTAAAATTCATGTCCTATAAATTCAATCTTTAAAATTTAAATTCTGCAGCACAAAATAATTAAATACAAGGGTATATAGATGAATCTTAACCTGGGAATACACTTCTTACAAGAAACAAAGATCACAGGGCATCACCAAAATATTATTATCAGTGTGTCTAGCTCTAAGGAGCTAGTAAGGTAGACTCAATAACGAATAATTACAACAATAAAGGTCAAAAAAGTTAAATGAAAGTCATCAAGAAAATTTAGAGATTTTATTCAAAATGGGGAAAATAGAATACTTACACAATGAAATATTCTTATAACCAAAATATAGAAAACTTCAAAAATAATTTATTCCTATTTATTAAAAAGCAATTCAAACAAAAAGCAGTCCATTTAAAATACATGAAGACACACTATTTAAAATATTTATTCTCCAAATTGGTTTATAGAATTAATGTAATTCTAATAAAATCTCAATATGATTTTTTACTTTAAAATTTAGAAAAAATGCAATAAAATTCAGAAAGAAAAATAAGCAGATATGTATCTTTTTTAATTTGGAAAAGTAAGGACAAAAATAAAAGGAGCACATCACATATTTCGATATACAAAGCTGTGGTTATGAGGACCAGGTGAGACTAGTATAAGACAGTCAAATATGGTGGAAAATGTGTCATATTTTTAAAACATGTGTTTGTCATGCTTTTTACCTCCCTATGCTCTTTTTGAGCTGATTGCATTTTTTTGCTGAATATTATTCACCATAAAGTCCAAGAGAAATTTTTATGAACCTTATTTATGGTTTTAACTGGAGTTTATTATTATTACTATTATTTTGCATTAATTCTTAATATTCTCTCTTAATATTTAATTTTTGTCATTTTAATTACAATGAGTCTTGGCATGATCCTCTTTCAGTTGATCCTGTCTGGGAGTCTCTGTGCTTCCTGTACATGGATGTCTGTTTCATTTCTCAGATTAGGGAAGTTTTCAGCTACCATTTCTTCAAATATTTTCTCTGTCCTTTTCTCTCTCTCTTCTCCTTCTGAGACTCCTGTGATGAGAATGTTAGTACACTTGAAGTTGTCTCAGAGACCTCTTAAAATGACTTCATTTCTTTCTATTTTTTCAGTTCAGCTTTGGTGATTTCCATTACTATAACTTACAGCTCACTGACTGTTCTTCTGTATCATCTAATCTGTTGATTCCTAACAGTGTATTTTTTATTTAAGTTATTGTATTCTTCAGGTGTGTTTAGTTCTTTCTATCTTCTGCTTGTTCAACTTCTCACTGTGTTCATCCATTCTTCTCTTGAGTTCTTTGATCATCTTTATGGTCATTACCTTAAAATAAACACTTTATCAGGTAGATTGCCTATCTCTACTTCACTTAGTTCTTCTTCTGAGGTTTTATCTTACTCCTTCCATTGCAACATGTTCCTCTGTTGCCTCATTTTGCCTAATTTTCTGTTTTTATTTCTATGTATCTTGTAGGTTGGTTACATTTCCCAACATTGTAGGAGGCAATGAAGAAATATTCCTTTTTTTAGTAATTCTTTATGAGGGGGGTGGGACATTGAGAGACAATGAATTTTTTTTCAAACTATGCACAGCATCTCCCCATGTTTCCATATGCCCTTCCTGATGATGATAGATTACTACCCTGAGAATTTTTGCCTTAGATTTCTTATCTATTAGTTATCCTTTGTTAGAAGTATTGCCTACTAGAATGTGTTTTTTTTACCTTTTATGTGTTTTTGTGGAGATAAATGTGTGAATACCACTGATCTAAAGTGTGGCAGGAATCTTTTTAAGAATTTGATTAATTTAATCAATCAACAACAACCTCCATAATTTCTAGTTTTTATTCTGTAGATCAGAAATTTCATTTACCAGATTGGAATCCATTACTGCATTTCTCATTTTTCTCTAAGGCTTAGAGTCCCAGTCAATGCCTACCACTGTGACTTTCCCTGCCATACTGCATCCTGCAGTTTGCTAGATTTCTCCTTGGAGAGAGAATGGAAATTGTGGCAACCAGGTTCAGAATTTGACCATCAATAATTCCCATTCCATTCCACTGGCTCTTTGATATCCCCATTTTCCCTTAGGGATATACACACTGTGAACTTGTACTGCCTAAAGTACCTGTGTTGAGTACTGTTGAGTTTACATGCTTATCCCAAGAACAAAGGCAAATGTGGCATTTAAAGGGACTGTTTACTTCATTATAAATGTAGAGGTAACAGTCCCAAAAGCAGTTACTTGTCAGAGTTTAATCACTAAAATCTATACGCATTATTTTCAGGTTTAATATACCTTCTTTGAGAAAAATATTATGATATAGATGAAAACACTTGAAATTTGAAGTCAAAATATGACTGGCCTTGCTGTTTACTATCTGCATGTTAGTTACTTAATCTCCTTTGCTTGTATCTTTGATTTAAAAATGTGTGTGTACTAATGTATTACCTACCTTTAAATCCTTATAGTGATATTGGTTGCATAAAAGGAGATGATGTATGTATGACTGTGTAGTGGTTATTATTATATGTAGTAAAAGCCATGTTCCTTGGTTTGACATGAAATCAATACTATTTTATATGCTGATGTTATTTTGAACCAATATAAAGTGAAAGATTCTTATTTTCATTTACATGATCAATAAAATTTCAAACCAATTCATTTGTAATGACACAAGACCTTAAAAATAAAAATGTTTTTGGAACCAAGTATGCAACAGAGGTAAACATCAGGTGTTTTTATAATTAAGATAATCTGAAGTTTTTAATAAGCTATATTACACATGGACTGCTAGCAGTGCACAATCGCTGTCACTTCTTTTATAATAGTGCTTTTAGTATTCCACTGAAACATGACCAGTGAAAGCATAATATTCTTAGTTACCATTATGAGGAGCTCTGTGTATTACAGCCTCTCCACTGTGTCTGCTGTTAGCTAGAAAAATGCTGGGAGCAATAGCAGCTACTATCAACAGGGAGCCATATTAATTATTTGAAATGTGCCTCATAAGAGAAATCAGCAGAGTTTATTACAAGTCGAATATTACTTGAAACAGGAAGGTTACTCTAATTGTTATCATAATCTATGTATCATTAACTTTCCTTGTTTAGGAAAAGAGATTAACAACCCTGTAGATTGCTATAGTAAATGTATAAAATACAACTGCATATTCCCATTATAGAAAGAAAGCTGTGGGTTCTGTACTTTTACCCAAACCTTCTTTATATAAAGTAGCTTTAGAAATTGAACTCTGTAATTATGCTTTCTTGCCTTAAAATCCTAATTGCTTACTGGATTATCAGTATACAAGCTATAGCTACTTTGAGCATTAGAAAACTCTTTTGTTTTTAAGCTAGCAATTTTTTTCAGTCAGCGTCTAGTCCTTCAAATCAACTTTAACTCATGAGACAGAAAATGTATTACAGATATGCATGTGAACTAGCAGCATGCTTTACAAGAAACAGAATGAATCCATCTACCTGCTTTTTTATATTGTGGTTAGTTATTATTTTTTCATCAAGTACAATAAGCAAATAGGAGTAGTTTTCTACTCAAATAATAAGTAAAAAGTTTAAAAGTAATCATAAAAATAAGGTATAAATTAATTAGGATTGTAAAGTTATCTAAGTAAGTGCTATTCAAAGTGTTATCTGACATAGATGCCAGTCTGCAGACCATTTATTACTGATCTGCAGTGAAATAAATGCAAAAAATAAGAGTAAATGTTTAGAAACACTTAAAGCAAATTGATAGAGTACTTAGTGTCTGTTTAACAATGAAAAATGGGGACTTGTATTTTATGTCTTTAGTTTTTGCATTTCATTTTTCTTGTCAGTCATTTTTATTGTGTTTTTAAAAGTGTCACTCAACAATAAACTTGTGATTTAACAACAACAACAAAGTAGATGGCTTAAGAAGGACTGATTTAATTGCTTGATGTTTGGATGACACATAATGATTCTATGTTTGGATAGATCTATCTGCACTCTATAATGGTTAGTAATTCAGTGTGAAGAGAGATGTATGACATCATAAAACCAAAAAACATGTAAGAAGACATAATTATAATATCTTAACATTTATTTTTGGGTCCACAGGACAGGCACATCATGGACAGGTACCGTACATCTCTCCACCAATTCACCTTGACTCTGAGCTAGAAAGACCCCCTGTTAGAGGTGAGTTGTATTCTTTTTTTTTAGTTTAAAGAAAAAGAAATTTATTCATTCTTTGTTGAAGACAATTAATTAAATTAAAGATAACTGTAAATATGTATCTTACAATGCAGTGCCTATTTAAAAAACAGGAGGAAAACGGTGTGTAAGGAACGTAATAACAGAAAGAGTAAGTCTTATTTATAATAAGATGTGAATATTGTTTTGAGAAATGTTTGTAAACCAAATAAGAAATGAGGATCCATAGTGGAAGACTAGTTGAAAACAAACCTAGATTTAGAGATTACCAGATAACCGATACTTTTGTTTATTGGAAATTTCTTCTTCTACTATCCTTTTTTATTTTAAAATAAGTTAAGATGTCTTAATCTAAGTCATATTGACATTTATTTCCTTGCAAAGTGGTATCTTATATTTTATTATTCCTTTTAAAAGTCATTTTATTATTAATATGATAATTTAGTTTTAAAGTATATAAATTAAAATTATGTATTTAAATTGATGCCATCTGTTTAAAGATTTTTAAAAATAACTAGTCATACAAAATAGAAGTTAAAAGTAACATTTATCTCATAATCTAAATACAGAATTTATCTTTCTACTTTTAAAAATTAATGATTTTTAAATGTTTTATAATGTTCAAACTAATGTAATAATAGACAAACTTTTAATTTTATAAATACCAAATATCCTAAGGTTAATTTTTCAGTTTAAAGTAATATGGTATATTTTCTTTTTTTTTTCCAAAGGGGAACATAGCTTTATTTTTATTTTATTAACATCTTTATTGGAGTATAATTGCTTTACAATGGTGTGTTAGTTTCTGCTGTATAACAAAGTGAATCAGCTATACATATACACATATCTCCATATCTCCTCCCTTCCACCCCTCCCTCCCACTCTCCTCACTTTGTCCCAGTGGCATGGTATATTTTCTTATACTTTCAATAGTATACAACAAAAGTCATTAGATCTGACTTTTATGAACATGTTTTCTATACATGCTATTTCTTCTGCCAGGAGTCTCTTACCTTTTCTTTTCTACCTAGTAAGTTTCTACCAGTGTTGCAATGCTCTGCTTTACCTTCAGTTCCTCTTTTAAGTCTTCCCATGTACTAGGCAGGAGCTAAGTACATGCCTCTGTCCTCCAAATATCCCCTGTGCTTGCCTCAGTTATTATTCCTAAAACACTGCATTTTATTTTTCAGCTTGAATGTCCCTTTTTCCTTCTGTAAGATCCTTGAGGGCAAAGAGTGTCATAATTATTATTTCTCCTCCAGCCACTGGTCTGTGCTTGGCGCACAATAGGAACTCCTAAAATGATTTCTAAGTGACTGAAAGTGAAGGTGACAACCTAAATTGTGAAGGATGTATCCTCATTTTTCAAGAAGAAAACTGAGCAGGGACAGTAAGAGAACCTTACAAAGAAGAAGCAGAATGAACCAAAATATGTTATATGTGAAAGTTGTGATTTTTTTTTTTTCTTTCGGTACACGGGCCTCTGACTGTTGTGGCCTCTCCCGTTGCGGGGCACAGGCTCCAGACCGCAGGCTTAGCGGCCATGGCTCACGGGCCCAGCCGCTGCGCGGCATGTGGGATCTTCCCGGACCAGGGCACGAACCCGTGTCCCCCGCATCGGCAGGCGGACTCTCAACCGCTGCGCCACCAGGGAAGCCTGAAAGTTGTGATATTTTTAAGGAAATGTGCTTGAGTGCACAGTAAAATGGGAGCAGTTTTAGAGGAAGAGACTGGGAAGATGTAATGAGGGAGATTGTGAAGGATTCTGTGTCTCATGCCAAGGAGTTTGTACTTTATCCTGGAAAAAAATCATCAAATATTTTTAATTTTTTAAAAAATTTTCCTAAGTTAGTGGGGTGTCATATCATAACAGAGTCAGTTCTTTTTTTTTTTTTTTGCGGTACGCGGGCCTCTCACTGTTGTGGCCTCTCCCGTTGCGGAGCACAGGCTCCGGATGCGCAGGCTCGGCGGCCATGGCTCACGGACCCAGCCGCTCCGCGGCATGTGGGATCTTACAGGACTGGGGCACGAACCCGTGTCCCCTGCATCGGCAGGCGGACTCTCAACCACTGCGCCACCAGGGAAGCCCCAGAATCAGTTCTTGATATGGGAAAAGTGTCTCTGAAATCAGTGTAGATGATGAAAGATTGACAGAGGGAAGCCATTTCAGTAATCCAGATAAAAGATGATTGGGAAATTAGTTAGGAGTGTGTTGGTGGCAATGGTAGGGTCCGAGAAGTGTTTTGAAGAGACATGGCATTGGCTGAACTGATACAGGGAAAAGAGCAGAAATGCCTCTAAGGTTTCTATATTGATTAACTACTTGGATGCTTATGACATAATTTCTCATCATGAGGAAGAGATGAATTTTAAATGGATGCCTTGTTTTAGACATGTTAATTCTTAGTAGATTGTTGTTCCCACCAAAGATGGAGACCTATTTATGCAAGTTGGTGACTTTAATATAATTCAATTTTTCAGACATGATCCCAGTATGATTTGGGAAGAATACTATAAAGTCATGGGTGTGACAGTGTAATAATCGACTCCAAAAGTTAGTGGCTTAAAACAGGAAACATTTTTATAGTTCACAGAGTTGGTTGAATCGCATATGTGCTGACTTGACTGATGCTGGATGTTTAGTAGTTAGCAGGCTGGTTGGATTTTCAGGGGAGGAAATTCATTCACATGTTTGGTAGTCACCTTGATGTCATCTGCAGTGATGGCCATATGGCTCTCATCTTCCAGCAGGCTAGCCCCAGCTCATTCCCATTGTGACAGGATTCCCTGCAATGAGTAGGAAAGTCCTAAAGTTCAGGTATTGTTTAAGAGTCTACTTGTGTCATGTTTGTTATGTCCCATTGGCCAAAGCCAGTCACATAGCCAACCCTAGACTTAAGAAATGGACTCCATCTCTTGATGGAGGAACCACAATCCAAAGGACCATGGATACAGGAAGGAGAGGAATTTGGGCCATTTCAACCTACTGTAGCTAGGCACATAAAGAGTAAAATAAATTTAGAATGAAGCAAGACAAAAATTGAGTGATAAAATGAAGGGATTTATAGCCAATAAACTTAAACTTGGGAGTTCTAGACCTTTCTTATATTTAATTTCCTCAACTACCACACAGAAGTTCAGAAATAAGAAATCCTCACAGTGTCTTTGTGAGGATTAAGGATGATACAGAATAGAGTCTGGCATCTGGTAAGCCCTAGATAATATGTGGCTATTACTATTGATGCGAACTTTGGGGTTTGCTGTTGTGACATACGGGAAGAGTCTGGACCTTGGAGCCAGGCAGACCTGCAGGATCTTAGGCAGCTTCTGTCTATCAACTGTAAAACAAGTTTTTAAGGATGATTAAGTGAAACAGTTAGTGTCAAGTTCCTGGCAAATAACCTGACATAAACTAGACCCCGAAGAGTTAGTAGGCAAGTAGGCATTATTAAGAGCTTCACTTTAAAGCAGCATCATCTTAGTAAAAGTAGTGATGGTATTGACCTGGTGAAGAATGATCTACTAGAATCCAGCAGTGATCTCTGCTTTATATCTATCTCAAATTGTGCTCTCTACCTTAGAAGAATTGTCTTGATAACTTCTAGTTCTCACATAGTTCCTCTACATGCATTGACCCAGAGACCCTCCTAAACTACTGTGATTAATGCAATTGCAGTTATAGTCATTAGCTCATGTGCCATAGTCCCGTAACTTTCAAAAAAAAAGAACATTTAATTGAATAAATAAAGAGGTTTGTATAAATCACCAAAATAACATTGCAAAAGATCTTGTGCTTTTTTTCTTAAAACTATCTAATATTTTATTTAAAAACAAATATTGGAAATGGTAAGAGTTGGCAATATCATTGTTTTGGAACCACGAAGTATTTCCTTTCAACTTTCAACTCTCACCCCTCATCTGCATTACTGTTTCTAATTATAGTGTACATTTTTGATATTTAAATTACACAAATGACCTGTACATTATCTATATCTATGTACAGAGAGGGAGTCTCTCATGTATATTATAGGTTTTGATTTGAATTTATACAATAAGATAAATTAGGTTCTTTAAATACTTTGAAATACTGTCTCTAATAATTTTTGTGTGATTATATAGCAATATCCTTTGAACTACCTGAAAAACCACATTAGATATCTATTTTTTCTATTTTTCTACTATAATTTTATACATATTGAGAAAATGAGAGCTATGTCTTGATAGTCCCCTTCCCCCACTGACTACAGTTCTCTGTATTCTCTTTCTTTCCCTCCCTGTACCAATTTCCACTAGTGTACATGCATGTTCATGTTTTAGAAATTATTGCTTTATATATTAATTCCCTGTGTATTTTACAGACTTGACTATATTTTCATAGGAAAATCATACTTAAGCTTTTTGATATCCATCAAGAGAGCAATACAAAACAATGTTTAAAATGTATTAATATAGCTATCAATATTAGAACAGGGAATTTTTCAGTAGAAAGTATGAATTTTCTAACATACAATTACATATCAGATTGCTTCAAATACTTTGCCATTTTATTCTGTTCTTATCTCAAATATTTTGGATTACTTGGTACCTTTTTTTTTTAACAGTGATTGTGCTTTGAATATTTGAAATAGTGAACTAATTATTGGTAACTTTGGAATTGTTTTTTAACCTCTATTTTAAAAAATAATTATATAATTATTTTTCAAAAAGTATATGTGACATTTTCATTTCTTTTTCATCCCCTTAAGTTCTATATGTAGCTTAGGAATCATTTTGGTTTTGATCCACATGTCACCATACTACCTCCTTTCTATTCTCTTGATTTCTTTCACTTTTGCACTCACTTTTTAGGGAAAAAATATTTTGTGAAATTGATGCACTTGTTTGTCAAAATGTATTTCTTTTTTGGTATTGTGTATTTTAATTGTGACCAACATGCTCTTAGTAACCATATGGAAAATGTAGTAACAAGTTACCAAATAACCTTG